TATCAATGTTCTTAAACAATCAATAGAACAAATTATCTTTTGTTTTGGATTGAACAAGTTCATTTTCATGAGTATATCCATAGATAAAAATAAAATTACATTAATACTCAAAATGAAGGAAAAATTACAAAATTACAAAACTAATTCTTTGTTAATCTCTATTCGGTAGTGGTTTTAAATATATTCCAGATTACGAAAGTTCCTCGAAAAATATCAGACTGTTCTATTTGAAGAGAAGATGGTTGAAAGATAATTATTTTTTTGTTTTTGTTGGATTGAAGGGTGTGGGTGTAGGTGCGGATGAAAATAAGATCTATACTCACACCCACGTCCACACCTGCATTCGCACACCCACACCCAATAGTGTAAAAAAAAACTTCCACCACGAATTGTGATTCATGTTTATGATGCTGATCTTTTTTTTCAGCTGATGATTTTCTTGGTTTATTTTTCTTATGTCGTATTTAAATATATTTAAATTATTTTAGGTGAATATATTCTTAAGATGACACATTTACTAATAGATGCTAAATCATCAAATAATTGTAAAGTTGATATCCTACTTGATTCAAAACATCAATCATTAAATTTATTTGTAAATAAACATATTGCGCTAATAATAATTTAATTTTTTAAAATCAATTTCAATTATTGATTTATTTAGATTGATGGCCAATGATTGTTCTATTGAAAGTGGAAGAAATTTGTGACACAACTCTATTAAATGTAAGTTATAATCATAGATAATATTCATGATTTCTCTTTTTTTGCTTTTAATAGAATAAAGTTGAAGCTGAACTTACTCTTCGTACAGCTGAAGAAGCTGAAAAAAATTCTGTTGAAAAAGTATGTAAAGGACCGCAACCACTTGATCAACCAAAGTTTGTTTTATTTAATTAATTTATTTGAAAAAGAAATCTGATTTATTATTTTTTTGTTTAATCGTTCAAAAACTTCATTTCTATGGTTCACATCTCCATGAAAATATTTCGAGATGTTGTTTAGTGTAATTTTAAATAATCAATTATATTGTTTATACGTATATATTATGAGCTTGTCATTGATTTTATTTCATATGAATAAACGACGTGTAAAGTATGGTAATAGTTTGTTAGTCGTGCTTGATCTTTTCATTTTTGTTTTTTTTCTGTTCTTCTGCTTTGAATATATAAAATATCATGTTACCTTTCGTTAAAATCAATCAAATGAATCAGCAATCAAAATTAGATAATAACTACGATCGACAAGTGATATTTGATTCAAAAATAGTTATCGAATAGATTGATTTGTGCAAATGAAATTTACAATTATAGATTGAATTTAGCTATGAATATAAATTAAAAAGTTTTGCGAATTTATTATTTATTTAAGAATAATTGAAACTTAAATTAAATGTCGATCTTGATTGAATATATTTTTTTTGTCTTCTGATTCATACTAATATATTTTATTTTTATTTTTGGTAATATATTTTATACTAAAAACAAATTTAAAATTTTTTCAAAATCTAGAATCAATAGCACTTAGTCTATTAAAGAAAAATCGAAGAGAATAAAAAGGAATTTCTATATATTTAATCTTTTGTTTATTGTGATATTTTATGATATCAAGAATATGTTTATCTAATGGAAAGAATAATTATTGATTACTTCGCAGACAGATTAGCGATCAACATCTAGACAAACGAAATCATTCGAAAAAACAAAAGACTCTTGTCGCAAAAAATTACGATGCATCATCAAATAAATTACGCTTCATTGACTCTAAGTGACGAAATTAAGAGTTGAAAGAGTCTTTTTTTTTCGCATTAAAATCGTGACTATGTAATGAAATGATACAGGTGCAATATTTTTTTGTTATGTGATTATTTCTATAGTGAAACGTGGTCCTGATTCATACAGTCGAAAAAATATATAATTAAGTGATATTGTCTCGCAATTTCTAGAAGAGAATATATGCGAGAGAATATAAGACGGAAACTGAATAAAGGAAAAGAGAAAAAAACAGGACAATCAACAAAGATACCTTTTCCTAACATATGTGTCATTCGAAACTTCGTACATATACAAAGTTATCAGTAACTGATCATCGTGTTTTACGTACTGTTGACTAATTGAATTGCGTTTACTTCCTTTTTTCTTTCCAATTTAGGTTTTATTTATCAATCACAATACTTTTCTATGAATCATTGATATTATGCATAAATATGGCAGATATATATGTGAAGTGTAGTCTTTGAGGCTAGGGTAGAACCATTATTTATCAAGAACTATATATGGCTACTGATAGATCTGTTAAGAACAATTCAAGGATTCAATTAGAACATGATGCAAGTAAACGAGTATTATCTTGTACTAAAACTTTCATCAAACGATTGATTGCACGAAAACCAATGGAAATATTACAAGCTGAAATTGATACACGAAATGAATTGCGACGTGATCTAAATTGGATTCAATTACTTGCTATAGGTCTTGGCTGTACTATTGGTGAGTGAGTAAGATTGAAAATAATACATGTAATAAGAGTTGTGAATGGTCTGTTCAGGTGCTGGGATATTTGTATTAAGTGGACAAGCTGCTGCAAAATATTCTGGTCCATCAGTCATCATTTCATTTAT